ATATTATGTTCTGTCATCATAACAAAGATAAAATAAAAAAAAGTTTAGAAATAATTTTTTTAAATTGAATTAAAAATGTTTTTTCAATTAGGGAAATATTTTAAAAGGAATTTAAATTTCATTATTGTTTTATAATAATAATTATATTATTTTATGATTTTTCACACACACTCATACACTATGGTCAATTTTTTAGCATACCCAATTCACCTGTACCACATGTCTTTGGACTGTGGGGGAGATCAGAGTACCCGGAGGAAACCAACGCGAACGCAGGGAGAGTAGAGCATGCAAACTCCGCACAGAAACGTAACTGACCCAGCCGAGGCTCGAACCAGCAACCTTCTTGCTGTGAGGCGAACGTGCTACCCACTCTACCACCGCGTTGCCCCATTAAATTTGAATGAATGAAAAATAAAAGTCTCTTCCAACATCCTGCTTTACTTACAATAAATCACATTAAACAAATAAAATGCATTTCTATTGCCAACTAATGATTGGTCTAATTCTGTGGGCGTTTCCCTGAATATCCTGTGTGCAGGCATTAATACCTGTTCGATCATGTTTCTGACTTTCCTTTGTTGACTTTTGAGCATGTCATCTAAGGAACGGTTTTTATATTGCTGAATTTCCAGCTCCTTTTTCAGCTCTTCACATCTGCAGAGAAGAAAACGTGGATGTTTCACAAGGACCTGCACACTTTCAGTAATGCATACATTTACGGCAAGACACTGCAGGTGAAAACCATTCATTGAGGCTTCCCCAGTTGATTGTTTATATTTTTGTTTTTTCTAAAATGTTTAAATATGCAAATAAGGCACTGTTTTATAAATTATGCCCTCATTTGCACACATTTCTAGCGCAAAAGACAAAACAAAAATAGATCAAGTGCGACAACAGAAACACTTGAAGGCACAGCAAGTCATTTTTCCCTCTAGAGCACAGCTGTCAAATCAAGTTCCTGGAGAGCCGCAGAGAATATAGTTCCAGCCATATCAGCCTAGAAAATAGTAACTATTCATTTTCTCTTGGTCCTAGTGCACAATGTGAATACAGAAGCGTGAAGCTTTAAATAGGAAAAATATGGAAACTCTTTGGTCCTTTTAGAGCAGGGGTGTCAAACTCAATTCCTGGAGGGCCGAAGCCCTGCACAGTTTAGTTCCAACACTGCTCCAACACACTTACCTGTATGTTTCAAACAAGCCTGAAGGGCTCAATTAGTTTGATCAGGTGTGTTTAATTAGGGTTGGAACTAAACTGTGCAGAGCTGCGGCCCTTTTGGAACTGAGTTTGACACCTGTGTTTTAGAGCAATATGTCTAATCTGATTCAATGATTTATGCTAAGCCAAGCAAAAAGTGCTTCTGCCAGACCCAGATAGCAGCTAAATGGATAAAAACATTGTTTAGTTCTTGCAAAATTTTGAATGTTTTCTTTCCATTTGACTGAAAAAAAAACTCTAAATGTCCAGGTGCATGAAAAAACTGTTCTTGCATGTAGCACCTTGCCTTAATGCAAAGAAACATGCGCTCTTCATTGCTGTATGGGTGAGTCCACTATAACATTTAAGTATGAGTCAAGTCATATTCCGTATGAGAGGCGTGGCACAAGGCAACTAATAGAGGTTTAATTGAGCCAACCTATTACCTACTAAATTGCAGGTGGAAAATATTTAATGTGCCTAAGGAAACTATATAGGAACAAAACAATGCAAACAATAGGAAACAGTAGCCATTTGGGTCAGCAAAGGAAAAAAAAGGCTCACTTGTCGTCACTTTTTCGCAGCTTCTCAAGTTCAGCCTCATTTGCTGACAGTTTTTCTTGTAATGTGGCATTTTGCAGCTTCAGGCTGTCCATGTGCATCTGCATCTCTGTCATCTTCTTCTGCTGTTCCTCCACCTTGGTTTCTGCTCTCTGCAGCCGAGACCTCTGCAGAAACAGACGTTCACATTCACGCTTTTCTGCCTGATAAAGTGCACAAAATTGGACTTTGGAGACTAAAACACTGCTGTTTTATGTCCTTGTCAATTTTAGTTTTTTAGTCAACTAGAACTGATGGTGATGACTATTAATTATGTTTTCCCTTTTCAGCTACAGTGTTTGGTGTTTCTGACCTCTAGTTTTTCCGTCTCCTCCATATAAGAGTACAGGTCTCTTATTTCTGTCAATTCTTTGTAATCTTTGACCTTGCAGATCCTGGGCGGAACCTGTAACAACACACATTTCATTAGCACTGTCAACCTTATAAAAACTACCATATTATTACAATACATTTATCAGACAAAAAAGCGGTAAAAAAAAGTAGCCTTTTTGAGGTATATGATGATCATCAGCTGCAGTATGTGATGCTAAACTCATATATTTTCCAATACAGTACATACTAATAAAGGACTATTTTCATTCATTTTTTGGTATATTCCAAATTAATTATTGTAGATGTTATTTCTTATTTAATAATAATAATAATAATTATTAAAATGGTACCATAGCAATGTTAAGTTTCATTAGTAATATTATTATAATAGGCAGCACAGCACGAAGGTCGCTGGTTCGAGCCCCTGCTGGATCTGTTGGCATTTATATATAATAATTTGTTGCTGTTGTTTGTGTTATTTTTACTATTATAATTATTATTTTATTATTATTATTATCATTATTATTTTATTATTATTATTACTACTATTATTATTATAAACCAGGTACAAAATCTATTTTTATTATTATTATGTAATAATATTATTATGTATGTAATATTATTATGTAATATTATTATGTGTTATTATTATATTTTCAAGTCTGTAGTTACACATACTACGTATATTCTTATTGTAGACAATAATAATAATAATAATAATACTGTTAACATAGCAATAGTAATAACAGTAATATATATAAATATATATATATATATATATATATATATATATACACACACACACACACACACACACACACACACACATATATATATATATATATATATATATATATATATATATATATATATATATATATATATAAAAATAATGACATGTTGCTGTTGTTCCTTTTTTATTATTATAATTATTATTTTATTATAAATATAAAATAGAACAAAATCTTTTTTTACTTATGTTATTATTATTATTATTATTATTATTATTATTATTATTATATTTATAAGCCTGTAGTTACAAATACTAAGTATATTCCTATTGTAAACAATAATAATAATAATAATAAATATTATAATTTGTATTATTATCATAGAAAGAGGAAAGTATCAAATAAGTAAAAAGAAACTGTATGCATTGATCAAATTTATTGTAAAAATAAAAGCTTGTAAAAACCACACACTTATGTATTCTTTTAATCCACCTATCTATCACCATTTTACTTCACTTATCTTCTGATGTTACATAAAAATGAATACAAGTGTGAACGGGAGGCGCTGTAGGTGTGTAATTGAAGGCAGAATGACAGGTTGTTTACTGGAGAATCACAAGTTTGGCAATTGCTTCTCCCAGAGGCATCATGTCATGGGTGTGACTTTCCACAGGCAGAAGGGAAAGGTTAATGTTTGTACGCTCCCAAATCTCAGCTTCTCACCACAGAACCACGAAAACACGAACAAACTAAACTACGCTGATGTTTTTTAGACTAATTATTTATCTACCAACGTCACTACATCCTAATTAAAAGGGCTGATCTCTATCTTTTACATTGTGTCTCTGTGTCCATTATAATAACTATTCGAGACTTGCTGCAAGACTCTCATTTTCTAGCCAAACAGAGCCTTTATTCATTTTAGTTTGAAAGGTGTACTTGAGACGGAAGGATAAACGCCTTAATGGTGGAAAGGGGCTATTTTTATTCTCAATGCACCATTGAATTCGCCTCAAACAGCAGAAATGTGATCCTGTGAGTGAACCGAATGTGTCATCTATCTCTCTCTGGGAATCTCTCTGTTTGTTTGCATTCATAAGTAGCCTAAGTAGCCTTTGCATTCTTGATATATACAGTGCATCCGGAAAGTATTCATAGCACTTCACTTTTTCCACACTTTTTTGTTACAGCCTTATTCCAAAATGGATTAAACTCATTTAATTAATAAAAAATCTACACACAACACCCCATAATGACAATGTGAATTTTTTTTTTTTAATTTGTTGCAAATTTATTAAAAAAAAAAAAACTGAAAAAAATGACATGTACATAAGTATTCAAAGCCTTTGACGTGAAGCTCTAAATTGAGCTCAGGTACATTTTGTTTCCACTGATCATTATTGAGATGTTTCAGCAGCTTAATTGGAGTCCACCTGTGGTAAATTCAGTTGATTGGAAATTGTCCCAGGGTTGACAGTGCATGTCAAAGCACAAACCAAGCATAAAGACAAAGGAATTGTCTGTAGACCTCAGACGCAGGCTTGTCTCAAGGCACAAGGCAGGGGAAGAAAATACAGAAAAGTTTCTGCTGGTCTGAAAGTTCCAATGAGCACAGTGGCCTCCATCATCCGTAAGTGGAAGATGTTTGGAACCACCAGAGCAGTTCCTAGAGCTGGCCGGCCATCTAAGCTGAGTGATTGGGGGAGAAGAGATTTAATCAGGGAGGGGATCAATAACCCGATGGTCACTCTGTCTGAGCTCCTGCGTTTGTCTGTGAAGAGAAGAGAACCTTACACAAGGACAACCCTCTGTGCAGCAATCCACCAATCAGTCGGAAGCCACTCCCCGCCTGGAATTTGCCAAAAGGCATCTGAAGGACTCTCAGACCATGAGAAACAAAACTCTGGTCTGATAAGACTAAAATTGAACTCTTCGGAGTGAATCCCAGGCATTACATTTGGAGAAAACCAGGCACCACTCATCACCAGGCTAATACCATCCCCTACAGTGAAGCATGGTGGTGGCAGCATCATGCTGTGGGGATGTTTTTCAGCAGCAGGAACTGGAAGACTAGTCAGGATAGAGGGAAAGATGAATGCAGCAATGTACAGAGACATCCTGAATGAAAACCTACATCAGAGTGCTCTTGACCTCAGACTGGGGCGACGGTTTATCTTCCAGCAGGACAATGACCCAAAGCACACCACCAAAATATCAATGGAGTGGCACAACAACAACTCGGTGAATGTCCTTGAATGGCCCAGCCAGAGCCCAGACCTAAATCCGTCCCACCCAACCTGATAGAGTTTGAGGGGTACTGCAAAGAGGAATGGGCAAAAATTCCCAATACTAGGTGTGCCAAGCTTGTGGCATCATCATTAAAAAGACTTGAGGCTGAAAATCTTTTTTCACGTTGTCTTTATGGGGTATTATGTGTAGAAGTTTGAGAAAATAAATGATTTTAATCCATTTTGGAATAAGAGAACATAAAAAATGTGGAAAAAGTGAAGCGCTATGATAAGTATATATACTTTCTAGATGCACTGTATGTGTGTGTGTGTGTGTGTGTGTGTGTGTGTGTGTGTGTGTGTGTGTGTGTATAACAGTGCAAATAAATGCATGACACACTTTACCGGGAAGCTGTAGAAATTACTATTCAAAACATCATTAGAGCCATTGACATCCGCCTGAACTTCTGAGGCATTTATTGAAATCTAGAGCACAAAATGAGATGGTTTGGATGAAGTCATTGGAAAAGCATTTCCAAGCTGAAGATAAAATATGAGCAATGCATGCAGTAACAATTGAGTATCTACTAATTAAAATGTCTAATGTTGTGTACAGTTACAGGGCTCAGCATAAATGAGTACCATCACTTTGAATATGAACAATGTATACTGCTGCATTCGTACAAAATCGTTACAATATACACTAAAATGTTCTAATAATATTATACATTACAATAAGAGTGTGGTACCTTAGCATCTTTAGGATAAAACTGGACTTTTGGGGTCATACAAGCCTGTACAAAATGATGCACCAAATTTCTGACAGTAGAATGGGTGACGTCACGGATACTACATCCATATGTATATACTAACCAGTTGGCACACACATTTATCCAAAGTGACATATAAAGAAGATACAGTCAGGTCCATATATATATTGGGACATCGACACAATTGTATTATTTTTGGCTCTATACACCAACACAATCGATTTGAAATGAACAAGATGTTCTTTAACTGCAGACTGGGTATTTACATCCAAATTAGGTGAACAGTGTATAAATTACAACTGTTTGCGTATGTGCCTCCCACTTGTTAAGGGTCCAATAGTAATTGGACAGAATAATAATCATAAATCAAACTTTCACTTTTTAATATTTGGCTGCAAATCATTTGCAGTCAATTATAGCCTGAAGTCTGGAACGCATGGACATGACCAGACTCTGGGTTTCATTCCTGGTGGTGCTCTGCCAGGCCTCTAAAGCAACTGTCTTCAGTTCCTGCTTGTTCTTGGAGCATTTTCCCTTCAGTTTTGTCTTCAGCAAGTGAAATGCATGTTCAACCAGATTCATATCAGGTGATTGACTTGACCATTGCATAACATTCCACTTCTTCTTCCTTTAAAACCCCTTTGGTTGATTTTGCTGTATCCTTTGGGTCATTCTCTATCTGCACTGTGAACCACCGTCCAATGAGTTTACCACTCACCAATGGTTTACATCTTGTGGTGAAGCCTCTGTGTTTACTCTGGTGAAGTCTTCTCTTGGTTTTTGACTCTGACACACATACACCTACCACCCGGAGAGTATTTTTGATCTGGACAACTGTTGTGAAGGTTTTTTCTTCACCAGGGAAAGAATTATTTGGTCGTCCACCACAGTTGATTCCGTGGTCTTCCGGGTCTCTTGGTGTTACTGAGCTCGCTGGTGCGTTCTTTCATTTTAAGCATGTTCCAAACAGTTGTTTTGGCCACGCCTGATGTTTTTGCTATCTCTTTGATGGGTTTGTTTTGTTTTTTCAGTCTAATGATGGCTTGCTTGAATGATAGTGACAGCTCTTTGGATCTCATCCTGAAAGTTTACAGTAAAGCCTGGTTTATACTTCTGCGTCAAGTGACCGGCGTAACCGACGGCGCAAGCAACGCGCGTAGCTGTGCATTTATACTTCTGCGCGCTGTCTCTGTTGGTCTGCATTAACACTTCCGAAACACTAATTGGCAGTGAGATGTTAATGTGTCTCTGTGACGAGTTTCTTCTCCTGTGTTTTGTTCTTTCTGAACGCTTCCAGGAGGTACAAGTGGCTCAAACTCGCTCATTTTGAGGCAGGAACCGGCAGACGTGCAACAACTTTAACTAGAAGGTAAACACAAGACAAAACTTTCCATCAGGAGCTCCTTCGCAGGACTCCACACTTGTAAACAATCACTCCATTGGGCTCGCGCGGCTCTCGATCCCGCCCAGACTCATCAGCGCTACCAAGCCGACCAATCACAGAGCTTGCGCTACGTGTCGTTGCTATGTGTGGTAACATTTTTTGAGAGGTGCATGTCAGCGACGCCGACAGCCACAGCGTAGGGCTAAGCATCAGCGCCGTAGCATACGTGTGCGCTTGACGCAGAAGTATAAATCAGCCTTAACATTCCAAATGCAAATAGCACGCTTGACATGAACTCTGGACCTTTTATCTGCTCATTGTAATAGGGATAATGAGGAAATAACACACACATGGCCGTGGAACAGCTTAGAAGCCAACTGTCAAATTACTTTTGGACCCTTAACAAGTGGGAGGCACATATGCAAACATTTGTAATTCCTACGGCGTTCACCTGATTTGGGTGTAAATACCCTCAAATTAAAGCTGACAGTCTGCAGTTAAAGTACATTTTGTTCATTTCAAACATGTAAGAATTGTGCCGATGTCCAAATATTTATGGACCTAACTGTATAAAAAAGTCATCAAACCAACAACACAACAAAAAATATGTAAATAATAAGCAGACTTTGATCAAATTCATCTGAACAATGTTGTTAATGTCAGTGAATGTAAAAAGGTCAGTGTTGTACCGTGTTATTGTTGTTTTGTCTGGCTGCCATTTGCTCTCTGAGAGTCTTCAAACAGTATCTCACCTGAAAACAAACACACACATTATTATAACTCACTGACACATTATTCATGGTTAGCGAGTGTGTAGTGAAAGCACTGACCTCCTGCACTGGAATCTCATCAGTCATTCTGTTGACACGTTTCTGTTTCCTGTCTTTACAATAGCAGATCCTCTGCACTGAATTGAGTCTGGCTCAGCTTTTATACTTCGCCTACAATAGCTGAAACAATAAATAAAGAGATCAACATATTAGTTTTGAACCTGACATGTTTTGCGGAGACCTGTGGTGTATGATTGGATGGTTGTGTGTGTGTATTTACTCTTATTTATGCAACAAATGGCATTTTTTACCACATATCAGGTTATGGGGGTGACACGATGGCTCAGTGGTTAGCACTGTTGCCTCACAGCAAGAAGGTCGATGTTTCTAGATCCGGCTGGGTCAGTTGGCATTTCTGTGTGGAGTTTGCATGTTCTCCCCGTGATCGCGTAGGTTTCCTCTGGGTGCTCTGGTTTCCCCCACAGTCCAAACCCATATACTATAGGTGAACTAAATACACTAAATTGTCCGTAGTGTATGTGTGTAAATGAGTGTGTATGGGTGTTTCCCAGTACTGGGTTGCAGCTGGAAGGGTATCCGCTTTGTAAAACATATTCTGGATAAGTGGCGACCTCTGATGAATTTAGGGACTAAGCCGAAGAAAAATTAATGAATATCCTGTTATGCATTATGTATAATGACATGTATAAATATCTGGAATAAAACAGCTCAAGCATTTGCCTTTTTAAAGCTTTTACAATATATTTAATAAATACTAAAGTTAAACTACTACAGTACATTTTTATGTTTTATAGTCATACATTTATTAAATATTTTTAGATTAAAATTATATTTATTTTTAATTATTAAATAAGTAATTTAAAATTCTGTATAGCTTGTAGAAAAAAATTAAATACATTTTCTATTTTAATTTTAAATGATCTCTCTAGCTTTTACTAAAAAAGACACAAAATAATAACAATAATAATTTTACAATTTCCATTTAATTATTAAAATTATTATTTCATGAATAAATAAATAAATAAATAAATAAATAAAGACTATCACCACCAGACAACTGAAATAAAATTTGTGAAAATAAAATTAAATAAAAACAGACTTAATTAATTTTCTAGTCTCATCTCACATTTCCTTTAAGAGTCAGTTGCATCCTGCCAAGGTGCATTTGCTATGTATATGACGAAAAAACAATGTTTTACTAGCGAGAAAACAGTTAAACAGACCATCTGCAGTGTGGATAAATATTGAACCTCCTCCAGTCGGCCTCTTTACTTTCTCTTTACTTTACTTTTACTCTTTTCTTTACTACTTGACTTTTGTGTATAAGAAAACGATGTTGTACACACTCCACTGAAGACATCCATTAGCCTACATATTTAATTTAGTTTGTTAAGTGCAAAGATTTGTTTCAAAACTATTTCTAAATTCAGTTCTAATTTCCAGCAAACAAATAAATGATCAATAATAATGAAGTGCGTTGAGTTACATCCAAACACACATCCTGTTCTTATGCCCCATTTTGTGATGCATATATAAATCTCAAAAACCCAACAGGTGGACAAATCTAAAAACAAAATTTATTAAAACAAATATAAATATACATATAATAAATAAACCTGCTAATAATAATAACATTATACAAATGCAAATTGTCATGAATAAACTGAAAAAAGCCCTACGATTTTATATAAAATTCAATTTAAAGTGTGATAGGACTAAAAAGTGGCCATATAGGAACATTTTCTCAATTTAAATGAGTATTGGCTTGGACCCGGAAACAGTATTCCATACATCACAATTTAACAAGAGCATAACAAACAGAAAAAAGGACTTTATAGGGATACACAGAGCTCTCAAATCTAAAGATTTTTAAGTGTAGAAAATGTGTACCTGTAAAAAGGTTGCAACAATCAAATCCTGGATGTAGTTGTGGAGTTCCAACAATGTCTGAATTGAAATCTTTCTGAGTAAAAAAACAGAAAAAGGAGAGAGTGAGAGAAACATAAGGTGTGAAGGAAAGATAATTACAGAAATTGAGACTAAGTTTCAAGTTTCCAAAAGACACCCGAACAAACCAGCAATTAGACGAAATAAAAAGCCAATTTATAATTATGTAATCTCCATAGCAAACAGCACCACATAATAATAACTATAATGGTGACATATGTATATCTTTATTTCCATGACAGATTTAAATCCTTCTTTAAGGCTATAAGACACTTAGCGGATAGAGGATTAAGTAAAGGCTCAAAAAAAGAATGGGCAAAAACTTATTATGTTACGTAATTCAGTAGTTAATCCTGTGATTTAAAGGTGATATAATGTTTTCAGTGGTAAATTGCTTTCTTATATCCTACATAAATGCGTATAGACATGCATAAAGTGTGTTATTAGTTAGGTGGACTGCTATGCTTTGAAAACAAACACAAGTCAAACCCTGACTGATTGAAAACGGTCATTATTTTTGCTGTTCTCAATAGAAACATTACGCTTTCGCTTTCAAAATGATTAAAAAAAATCCTGCAAACAAAATAACACGTCAAATAAATTTTGCTTTAAATGTTTCCCTCAATACGCCCCATCCCAGTTCAGAAAGACTTTAATTTTCACATATTAAATATCGCAGGATCACCTCTTTTTCACAAATGGTTGGTTCAAGAGTCGGCTCTCTCTAAACCCCATCTTTCTGAGAGAGTACTCTTCTCTAATTTGCTAGATGGCCCATTTTGTTGGGATTGGTCCATCGCTTGTAGTGCATGTTGGTCAATTAGTTATTGTACGCAAACAGCTAATCAAAGCAATAATTCTTCAATTGGTGGACAGGACCATATGTTTGACCAATGACATCTGTTCAGGAAACCTGTTCGAAAATATTAAAATTTGTGCAATTTACAATACAAATTCTTAATACTAATAGACAAAAGCCTTCAAATCTCTCTTTCTTATACAGCCTACTCAACTCTGACTGCTCAGATGCCCTAATTTGTTGTGATTGGTCTACCGCTAAGCACATTAGAAACCAGGGGCTCTATTTTAATGATCTAGGTGCAAAGTCTAAAGCAAACGGTGCAAAAGCATTAAGGGCGTGTCCGAATCCACTTTTGCTATTTTAAGGACGGAAAAATACGTCTGAACCATGGTGCATGGTCTAACAGGGTTGTGCTTATTCACTTACGGGTGTGTTTTGAGAATAAACCAATCAGAGCCTCATCTCTCATTCCCTTTAAGAGTCAGTTGAGTCGAGCCATGGCGCATTTTCTATTTACATGGCGGACTTTATAAGTGGAAAAAAAACGAATGATTCACTAGCGAGAAAACAATTAAACAGAGCATCTGCAGTGAGTATAAATGTTGAGCCTTTCTCTCTTTCATAGATGAGGATTGATTTTAAACTATTAATTTTGGTTTTTAAATCCTTAAATGATCCGGCACCACTTTACTTATCAGACCTCCTACATGTGTATAACCCTGGTAGGTCACTGAGGTCTTCTGATCAATTTATTCTTTCTGTACCAAGGTCCCGGTGTAAGCGAAGTGGGGATCGGGCTTTTGCTGTTATCGCCCCAAGACTCTGGAACGGGCTTCCGCCCACAATCAGACATGCTCCAACTCTATCTGTTTTTAAAAAGCATTTGAAACTCCGTCTTTGTTCTTTTGCAATTGAGCCTTTTTAATGCTGAGGGCTTTGCCTTATGTTTTAATTGTTATGTCATTGTATATTTAATTTTGATGTAGGTTTTATTTTATTTAGTATTTATAACGACGGAGGGAGAAACGTGTTGTAATGTCACTTAGCAGTAAACAAGACTCTGCAAACTGGATGAGTTCATGAGTGCCTTATGTATGGTAGGCTATCAGTCTGTCACAAGGTTCAGCTGGTGATTGTAATTAGGATAGATGAATGAACAGGCGTGCGTGTCTGGAAGAAGTGCATGTATGAAGGTGTAGTCCTGGTATAGTGGAAACCACCGATCTCCGGAGAGCGATCGCTGGTTATCGTAACATAATTGATTGTGTTCAGCACTTTGGGCAACGTTGTGTTCTAAAAAATGTGCTATATAAATAAACTAACTAACAAACTAACTAACTAAAATTAACTAAGAAAACGATGCACAGACATCCATCAGCCTACATATTTAATTTTAGTTGTTCAGCACAAAGATTTGTTTCAAAACTATTTCTAAATTCAGTTCTTATTTCCAGAAAATGAACAATAATAACAAAGTGTGGTCAAAAACCTGAGTTATATCCAAACACACATGCTGTGCCCCAAAACCTGATAGGTGGACAAATCTAAGCTTGTTTTTAATAAAACAAATATAAATATGCATATAATAAATAATACTAAAACAATCATCACATTACACAAATGCAAATTGAAATAAACTAGAAAAAAGCGAAGGTGAATTGGGTAGGCTAATTTGTCCGTAGTGCATAAGTGTGTATGGATGTTTCACAGAGATGGGTTGCAGCTGGAAGACATATGCTGGTTCACTCTGCTGTGGCGACCCCAGATTAATAAAGGGACTACGCCAAAAAGAAAATGAATGAATGAATATTATTAACATTTTGTGTATACACAACATAAAATGTCTGACAGACCTATTTTATTTTCACAAACTGCTACATTACATGCTACATGAAAAGATAACATCTAAATAATCATAATAGGGACTTTATCAGTCTGTGGTTCACTACAAATAAACTTTGCTCCTGCAGACAACCAAGCATCATCCGTTCTGTGCAGCAGAGAGGAAGTGATTTAATCTAACCGAGTCATCGACTTGTCCGTGCAAGAGGAGAAAGCGGAGAAGAAAAGAGATGATCCGCTGGGATGTGAGCACAGACAGCAGAAGGAGATACCGAAAAAAAGTGAGGTCATTTGCTCAGACTGCTGATTCACTCCTCTGCCAGCCCCAGCAGATACCAGAGAAGGGTGGAGGCCGGCTGGAAAGCGTCGGTGTAAACACATGACAAAGCCCTGTATGGAAGTCAATTATGGGAGCAGGTGTTGCTGGCTTTATCAGGTTAGAATCAGTGTGTTTTATAGTACAAGAGATAAGAAAGCCATTTGTGGATGCTTATGCTAGTGTGTAAGTCTGGGTCACTAAAGTGTGTGAAGTGCCAGACATGTTAATAACACACTGCAAGGAAGGTAAATTATCTGCTGAGCAGGATTAAGCAGAGTTGACAGCAGAGTGGACATGTTCAGTTTGAATATTCACATTCAGAAATGGGTCTATAATATAATATAATATAATATAATATAATATAATATAATATAATATAATATAATATAATATAATATAATATAATACAGCAAAATATAATATAATATAATGCAATATAATATAATATAATATAACATAATATAATACAATAAAATAAAATATAATATAATACAATAAAATAAATAAAATATAATATAATATAATATAATAAAATTAAAAAATAAAAATAAAATAAAATATAATATAACATAATATAATATAACATAATATAAAATAATAAAATAAAATAAAATATAATATAATATAATATAATATAATATAATATAATATAATATAATATAATATAATATGTATACTAAAAGATAAAATATTATTACTTTGGTTTATTTCACAAGACTGCATTAAATTGATCCAACAATCACAGGAAAGACATGTTACAAAATCTTTACATTTCAAGTAACCGTTCTCTTAAATATCACATCCATTGAATAATGCTGGAAAAGTACAGTTTTTACAAAAAATACTATATTTATTATTAAATTATTTTGAAATTATATTTATTATTATTGAGCAGCAAAATACCATACTATGATGATATCTGAGTGGAGCTGACTTGAGTAATGATGATGAAAATTCATGCTGGAATGGTTTCAGTAATATTAATAAGATAAGAATTATAATATAAGATAATAATAAGCATCCCAGTATTGGGTTGCGGCTGGAAGGGCATCTGCGGCCTAAAACATATGCCAAAACAGATGGCAGTTCATTCCACTGTGGTGACCCATAACAAATAAGGGACTAATCGGAAGGAAAATGAAGCAATGAATGAAGAGAATTCATTCGAAATTATAAACATGTTTGCAGACCCCAAACTAGTGGGGGAAAAAGCTTGCCATTGTAAACATATAAATTACATATAATTTGTTTTTGCTACTGTATAAAAAAAAATAATAATAAATTAGTTACTAAATTTAATATAAATGTGGCAAGTTGCCTGTTACGTTGATTAGATTTAATGCAATAAATGCAATATATTCCACGAAATGACATACAAAAATACTTAAGCTATTAACTACGCATTTGCTATAGAAAAATATTTACATTGATTAAAAACAGTTTCATTGATTTTAATAACTACTAGGGATGGGTACCGAAGCTCGCTACTTTATCGGTATCGGTGCTACATTATAAAAGACCGTATCGATAAGCTCTAATGTTAACAGTTCTGCTATTGGTACTGGAAAATTATTTATGGATAAACATTACATACAGTTGCATAATTTAACTGGACAACCTTTTCTAATTTTTCTAAGCGATATTTAATATTCGTCTGCATAGTTGGCAATCTCACATGAGAAATACTGGTGTTTTTGGTGAGCGCGTCCGTCAAGTATAAAAGGCTTCACAGTTCTCGGCTGTGCGCGCACACTCAGCAAAGGCTCGTGCTAAGCAAAAGTGCATTAACTGCAGAAAGACAAATGAAATGTTTTCAACTGACTAGCTAAAGGTACATCATCCACGTAATTATGCAAGCAGTCAGACACATAAGGTCTCTCTAAATAAGTAATAAACACACATATGGGATAACACTGAAAATAAACAAATAATAAACAATAAAAATGCTTTGACATCAGCTGTATTTACAAATATAGCAGATGAATAGCCTAATAATAAACTATATGCTTATTAAGAAATGATTAAAAAAACTGCTTATTTTTACATTGTTAAC